TCATACTGGATTATTCTTTATACAAGAGTTTCTTCTTCATACGGGGGATCTATATACACACGAGAGGGGGAGATCTGAAGCTGATTGACGGGCTGTCCAGGGGAACCGACATAAAGCTGACATCTCTCAGACAAAAAGATTTAACACTTTTTGGTAAAGTATAAATTATATTTATCTGCAGGCAATTGAATAGCCATATACATTTGACTAAACCATTTGGTCCTAGTAGCATCAAGATTTGAATTTAGATCACTCTAACTGCAGTCCGATCGGTCTCTTTTCCAATCTTGGGAGAGAAATACACATATATGTATAATCTCGTTGAAACTGATTTCAGTTTCTAGTCTATGGTGTGGTTGTGGTGTATACTTAAAAATTAAAAGTAATTAAGTGGAAGTTTGTTTTTGCCTTAAAAAAAACTTGGCAAATTGCCAGTTCTGTGCATGATATATCTTGCGCAGTATACATTTTGAGCTGTTGAATATCTGTTGTCTGAGCGAGATCACGTGTCAAATCTGTACATTGTGTTGTTACATTCTGCTGAGCTAATGATAAGCTACTAATTGCATTCCAGAAGTTTTGTTTCATTTATATTTGAAATAATATCCTGTGGTTTTATTTTTCTCATTATCTGTGTTGATCAATATTATTGAAACTTTGATCCAATTGATTTCTTGTGTATCACCAATTATCGTTTGGTTATCATTTTTGCACTGATTCTTAGTTAATAAATATATATATTTTTGTACAGCTATTGTATTCATTTTTGTCTTCAGTTTAGCGCAAATAAATGAACTCGAGTTATTATTTTTGTTGATTTGTGAAAATAAGTTGGGAATCTCCTTAACCCCTTCGTGACTGACGACGTACAGTGTACGTTGCCAGCATCGGGGCTGTTTAAACAGACTCCCGGCGACTTTTGCCGCCGGGAGTCTGTTTAAACTTGTAGAGCCGACTGTCGGCTTTACAACAGAAGCGATCCTGGCGACTTACCTGTCGCCAGATCGCTTCTGCGTCCCGAAGAAGGGGCCGC